ATCACCCCCTTCTCCAGCTCAATTTCCACAGGCACCAGTCCCTCCGAGAGGAGCATCCCTCTGACAGGACACTCATTTTACAGCTTGGCATCTGGAAATTCAGAGCCACGAAAACCAGCTGTTTTACAGACTCGGGAAGTTTGAAAAGAAAAAACAAACAAACGCAAGACAAAACAGCTATTTCTTTGTGAGTTTAGACCCTGCTACAGAAGTGGTTAAGTGAGACAAGTTGATGACTATGTGCACCCACTGCATAGGGTTCATAGGTGCTGCTCTCGTGCCACCCCACACAGAACCCTATCACACTTAGTTTTAAGCCCCTTCCCATTTTGAGGAACTTCAGCCTACAGAAAGTCAAAAAAAACCTTCTATCTGCATACACACACAAGACCCAAATGTTTTTTTTTAAATATTCAGTGTCACTTTAAACTCTTTGCTGTTCTTACAAGCACCACAACAGGGGAGTAGCTTGGGGAAAAAGAGCCTTTTTATTTATATTCTTCATCTGAAAGAGCACTTTGTATAGATGCTTGCACTGTATTTCCCTTCGGTGTTAAAATCTACTGAAAAGCAGAGAGAAATTGGGCTGTGGAATAAGTTTTAAAGCGCAACAGAGTTAGAAGTAGAGTAAGAAATACTGTTGCAGTCAGTATTTTATCACTGTCACAATTTTAAGCTGATAACACAGTAAATCCTCAGACTAAAAGAACCCTTGTGGTAGTGGCTAAACCAGGGGAGATGGGGTTTAGGCATTGTTTCAAAAAGCTGCCTCTGTGAGAAGAGCCTCAGCACTGAGGTTTCCCAGTCTTTGCATTTTCCTAATGAGTTTACGATGGGAATGAACAAGATAAGCAAAGTGACAAATGCCACAGCAAGCATGCTACTGTCAGTGACCGCTGAATGTAATTGGGATAAGAAGTTGAAATATCTGGGCAGAAGGTAGATGCATAAGCTCAACTCGGGCTGTACAACACAGGAAAAAAAAAAAAACACACACAAATTTCAAGCTCTACACGCCCAGACCTCTCACTGAATTCATATAAAAATGGAAGAAGAATTAAACCAAAAAACAGCCAATAAAAAAAAAGAGATAGAGGAAGAAAAGGAAGAAATAAGCTCCCATACAATCTACTTCAGGACATTTATATGATGTTTTATTAGTCACCATGTAACCTTACAGGATTACGTGACCTAAGAGCTGGAAGGAGCGAGCTCAGCTGCACAGCAGCCCCCAATATCCTACACAAGAAGTATATTAGCCAGGTCAAACTATAAAATATTAATATAGGCTCAGAAAGAAGCACACCACCTTCTCAACATCCTCTTATCTGACTTTGATTTACAACAAGTTTTGATCCTGCACATTTTGATAACAGGATATATTAAATATAAAATGCACCACAACACTTAAGCACACAGGGCAGGAACTCCAAAACAAGTATATTCATGGTTATTTACAGCTTTATTTACATTTCACTTAAAAGTTTGAAAACAACAGTCCCTCACAGAAGGAGAAATGCTGCCTGTCTATCAAAGCAGAGACTAACAAAAACAACTCGCAAAACCATCCCATTCAAACCCATAAAATCCATAAAGAAGTGACATTGGCATTAGGATCCCTTCGAAACCCCCGGCTGCAAGTATTTAACCTGAAGCCCTAGCTAGATGGAGCTGAATTTTATTCAAATAGGTATTTTAGGAGAACCAGACCTCAAAGCGTACACTTTAATTCTCCAGGACACAAAAGCACGTGGGCACATCTGTAATCAATGGCTGCGGAGAGCGGGGGGCCCGAACCAGAGCAGCATTCCCCAAAGGCATCACCTCCTCCTTCACCACCAAACCTGAAAGATCTGGCTTCCTAACGGAGGCCTCACCTTTGGTACCTTGGGAGGAGCCACACAGAGAACCCGCTGACAGCCTCAGCAGGTAAAAAGGAGTGGTGACAGGTTAAATTAAGCCTTATTTTACAAGCAACCTCTGCAGATTTTGGAGTTACCGAGGAACACTGAACCCCCACCAGGTCCGACCTCCTCCAGCTTGCTTTGGCATAAGCCAGAAAACAGCAAAAAACTGAATAAAATCCCACCGTGGATGAAAAAAAAAAAAAAAATTAAAAAAAAAATCCAGTTTATACCTAACACACTTTAAATCAAGTCCTTAAAGTGTAGGCGCGTGTTTAAGATGGTGAATGAGCCTCCAGGAGTAGGAGCAATGGACAAAATGGACCAAAAGCCGGGGAAAAAAAGGCCATAAATAAATAAATAAATAAATAATATATTAAAAAAGGAGCTCTAAAAGCAGAGACCTACCTTCCCGCAGGGCCCTGCCCAGGAAGAAGGCGTATTCCCAGCACCGAGTTCCCGGCCCGGGGGGGTGCTGAGGGGGGTCCCCGGTCCCTCTCCCCGGGGCGGGGCAGGGCGGGCAGGTGAGGCCCGGGACCCGCC